TGGTCATCTACATCCATTTTCTTAGTCTTTCTGCATAGATCATGAATGTTCTCTCCAGTACTTTCCAGCGAGTTTTTGATTCTCTACCAGCTTCTGAATAGTTCCTTTTATTTCCGTGCTCATATATATTTATATGCCTCACCCCTGCAACAACAAACGTGTTATACATACACGATAGAATTAAACTTGTCTTTGAACACCAATTGGTAAAAGGTCGACAGCCTGTGTTACGCTTTGTGACATCTTATTTTTGAATTTGCGAACTATCTTATTGTAATCTCCTTTGCGTGAATAATGCAGTGTTGAAGTTTATAGATCAACATTCCAAGTTATGAATCAGAATCCATTAAAGTCTTACTGAATTATGTAACATCTAGACATGTTCTCTGAAACCACAAAGAGGTTTGACGGCATTACCAAACACTTAAGCATTGTTTCTAATGATGTATAATAATGCATTATCGGTCATTTGTACACTATTTTCGATAATGCGTGACAATGCATTGAAATTTTACTGAATTATCAAATATTGAGGCATTATTTCTGAAAATGCATTGATTTTCAATCCATTTTCGAGTATTAGAACATTATTCCTAAAAAATGCATTGAAACTATGAAAAATAATGCATTGTCATTAATTATTTGATGCATTTTACGAAATAATGGAAAATAATGTGTCAGTTTTGCACTATTTATCCATTATCGGCTACATGGGAAGTTTCAACATTATTTAAGATAATTCATTGAAATGCATTGTTGGTCAATGCATTATATTGAATGTGAACATTATTTAACATAATGCATTGAAATGCGTTGAAGCTTTAATGTATTATCAGAATTTTCAACATTATTTAAAATCATGCATTGAAATGCATTGAAGTTTTAACGTGTTATCAGAATTTTCAACATTGTTTAAAATAATGCATTGAAATACATTGACTGCCAATGCATTATCAGAAATTTCAGCATTATTTAAATTAATGCAGTGAAATGCATTGTCAGTCGATGCATTATTCCGAATTGGAACATTATTTAAAATAATGCATTGAAATGCATTGACTGTCAATGCATTATCACAACGTTCAACATTATTTGTAAAAAGTTCTCAGAAAACGCGAAAATAATTAATTGAAATGCATTATTTCATAAAATAATGGAAAATAATGGATAATTTTCCATTATTTATCCATTATCGGCTACATGGGTCGTATTGTTACACAAGTCGTATACGGTGGCTGTTTGGGGCAATTGTTTATGTCGGCCGTAAATCATCGTAAAATGTCGTTTACGATCGCCGTAAGGGACTACCGTATACTGCTCATGTATGCTCTGTTCTACGACATTTTATAATACCAGCGTATACGGTCGTCGTGTTGTCACGCTAGTCGTTTATGGCGATACTTTATGGTCAATTTTTACAATTGCCGTAGCATGCCGTAAAGCATCAGGTACGACTATTGTAAACAGCAGCCGCAAACGACTGACGTATACGATCCCTTACATTGTTGTTCGACCAAAGTATACAGCCACCGTATTGTTACGGTACTAGTGTACGATGAACTTTTACGGGCACAGTGTACGAGTGCCGTAATATGCTGTAAATCATCGTTTACTGCTGCCGTAAATAGCTAACGTAAACAGTCGCCGTTATTCGCCGTATTTGGTTAGTGAACGACCGTTTACTGCCGAGCGTGATTGACCTGGGTCGCAGAATCGGCGACAGTCAGAAGACTTTCTTGAGATCACTCTTTCATGTTATGAGAAACTACACATTGCATTCATTGAACCAATTTAAATTGCACAGAGAAAGATCCTTTCATGATCTGAATGAATCAGACCTATATCATTCTACGCATCATCGTCGGGTGTACAGCTACTCAGAGGAGATCACCTCTTCCTAATGTTGCAAAATTTTCGTTTTTCCACTCACTAGTAACAAAAACACGCCTGTTTCTCTGCTTACGAATTTTTTATTATTCACCATCCCTAAAGTTCTCGCTCTCGGTGGCATATCGATTCAAAAACTTTTTATCTCCCCTCCTCTTCTAATTTTCACACCTTATTCGCCTCTTTGAGGATGTGGCCATGGCTGTGGCTGTGGAGTGAGAGAGACTGCTTGCTTGCAGATTTTCTTATTATCCGCCACTCCCAGACCGCCCACATATCCACACACCCACACTCATATCCGCACGCACGGCATTGGGACATTTCGCATCACCTTTTCATTACGATCACCGGTAGCAAATGTTCGTTACGATCTTCGGACATAAGATAGCGCAGCCCCTTTGCGGCTGAAATGTGGAACTCACATATCTCCTTTGGTTTCATTATACTAATGACGAAATACTCAATATTTAAAACCTCCAAAAGATAATAGTTATTTTCTAAAGATAATCGATTATTAGAAAATGCTATGTTTTTATCTCTCAATTTCGAACAGAATTTTTTTTCACGAAGTTGCCAAGGTCTGTAATGGGGGGATTGTCTGTAATGATAGCCTATGTTACTATGGTCCGTAATTGGGGAGTATGTCTGTAATGGGGGATTGTCTGTAATGGGGGATTGTCTGTAATGGGGGGAGTCTGTAATGGGGGGTATGTCTGTAATGTTCTCTTTTCCGTTGTTATGTGTCTGTAATGGGGTCGGTGGAGGGAGGAGAGCCGCTAACCTCGAACTGAAAACTTACACTCACTATTTTCTTCGAAAACATACGTGAGTTCCACAAAAACTAAGACAGGTGTTCGGAATTAAATGTACAGGAGCTCGAAATGATAAAATCAATCAAAAATTTTAAAAAAACACAGGGTGTTCGTAATAAAAGTTGTCCAGGACAAAAAACATTTCCGAACACCCGGACACATGACAAGAGTTCGAAATGACTTAGTGCGAAATGTCCGTCACCCGCATGTACGCCCTACCCACACCCTCACCCATACGCACACGCACACCGTTAAAAATTTGTTCGACAACCTTGGAATCGGCGAAACACGAAATCAGCGAAAACTCCATTAGACGATGTTGAAATCGATGCAAATTGTTGTTTTGAGAAAAAAAAATCGGCGACAATGAAAATTACCTTTACAGCAGCCTTATTTGTCGTTTAATTCAATATCTATAATAAAAGCAATGTTAAGTTAAGAAGAACGAAATACAAAAAAAAAACTAACGTGCGAGTAGTAAGAATGGGTGAGGTATCGGTGTTAGTGCTCTCTTCATCTACGTCCCCACCTACACGCACTTACACGCACACCACACACGCATACCCACATCCTGATTTTCTAGAGTGTGGATGGGTGTGGGGTGTGGGTGAGGGCGTAGATGAAGAGAACACTAACACCCACACTTACACCCCACACCCACACCCACACCCACACCCACACACCACCCACACCCACACCCAGACCCACACCCACACCCTAGTCCAGAAAAATCTATGTAACATCCTTAAATCTCATCATGAAATCAATAAACTATAGTGCATTCAAGAGTAGACACTTTGCTCCATCTAACGAGCTATAAATCACAAAACCCATACATTTGACCAAAATTGACTTTTCTGAGGTGGGGGTGGGCTCCCTTAATTGAATCCATTTTCTTTAAAAAACAAAACATTTAATAAATATTAAAAAAAAAAGAAAAAAAAAGATCTTTATAATTTTAATTCTTCTTCTAATTCAGATATTTTTCGTTCATAAGCTCGATTTTCCTATATTGAAAAAAAAAATAAGAGGTCAGATTTGATTCGAATAGGACAAAGAAAGTCATCAGATTTAGAAACATTATTTACATAGTTAAGCTTAGTTGATCTAACAGTTGTTACTCTGACACAATATAATAGAAAGATCCTTTTTCAGTTCAATGGATTCTAATCAAAACAAAGTAATATGTTTTTCCTTAATTATAATGACAAAGTTTGAATCTGAGTGCGATATAATTTTTAGACAAGTTTTGATATTTTATTAAACAAATAAAATGTTTTCATCTAGTCTACCTGCCATCTTATGTAATGATGTTTATTAAACTATTTCATCACTTCAGTTATTTCGATCTCACACACAACATAAGTTAATATAAGAAAAGGAAAAGTGATGATTTGACAAATGAACTGCAAAGATAACTTGATAAAATAAGACAGATAAACTAATATATCGAAACAAAGTTTTACATTTGCAAGAATTCTCTTCGAAAAAACTAGAAAAGATAAAGCTATTGTGGCCTTCACCACACTTTCAAGAACGAAATTAAAGAGCTCGTAAGAAGTATTAGTTTTACATATCATTATGCATTTGTCAAGCGATGATTCAATATATTGAGATGTTTCCTATAAAATAAAAAAAAGAAAAATAATACAAAATTAATCTTGATAATACACTTAGAAGTTTTTCAATAATTTGATCACATTCTGAAATATCTCTTTCTGATCAATCAAATTTTTGATTTAATTCCTCAATTTTTTTTCTTTTAGTATCTTCATATAATTTAATCATTATTAAATCATTATGATCTTTTTTTGAATTAATTCTATTAATTGATAAAGAATTCGTTACTGTTAATGATTTTTTTTTGGATGGTTCTTGACTTTGTGAATGATCGATTTTTTGATGTTGAAAATATTGATTCTTTTGAATTATTTTCAAGCTGAGATGTAAGATCCATGAACTCACTAATGATGATTGTTAAATATTTTGATCATCGGATTCACTAAATGTTTTTGATATTAAATCATCTCGAATTTCAACTTCTTTTGTTTTCAATAAAAAAAATAAATAAAAGTTTTAAGATATTAGAAGAAAAAAAGAAAGAAAGATCTCGAATATCATTCCCTATAATTCTTCCAGTATTTTTTTCTTTGATTATGTACACGATTTGTTTTACATTGAGATTATTGAGAATCTTCCAGATTTAATGAATCATTTGCAGTTATTGTTGGAACATCATCCGTTGATATAAATCGAGTTTTTATTTATCGTGATGCATCATTATTAATCTCAATCATATCCTTATTTGCTCCATTTGTTCTCCAAGCTTTTTTTTTTTTCTTCAACAACTTTTTGTAAAAGTTCAGTTTCAATATCATGATCACTATTAGCTAATGGTGTTGATGGTGTACCAATTTTATTATTCAATAAATCATTTGTTTCATTTGATCGATTTTTAATTTGTTGGTCACCTGCTTTTATATCTTCAAAAGTAACATTTTGTGTTCTTGTCTTACCTGAGCTGAACAATGTTTACGTTTTGCTTCAGCTTCTTCATCACAATTTGGTGAAAGATTTGTTCGTCGTTTTCCATTTGTTGATTCATCAATTGAATTTGAAGTTGATGTTATTGTGAAATTTTTTGTTGGTGAAGGAAGAGAACTTGATATACTAACAAGTGCAGGTGTATTTGATTCATTAACGCAAGCACTGAATCGATGACGAACATAAGGACCAGTGTTATTTGATGTATCATCTACTGTTTGATTAGTTGTATCTCATCTAGATAATGATTATATAATAATAGAAATAAGAAAAATTTTAAATTATGAGAAGAGTGCATGTCAATCTTAAAATATTGCCAAGAAAAAGACATAGATCGATAAGTTTTTATCTATTTTATATTTTGAATATTGGTTAGAATAATGTATATGTATTGATTAGTTACAGATTTTGTTAGAAAACTACTTTCTAGGTGTCACTTCTGGCTGTGTCTCATGGACGCTAGAATAAAAATCATTATTTAGAAAAATAAAAATAGAATATCATCTGACAAAACTAACTTCATGCAATTAATTAACAAATATTCACATCAAACAAATGAATATATTTATTATTAAAATGATGCATATCTAATACTCTCTGCCTACCTTCGATTGATTTTTGAATCTAATGATTGAGAAGAGGAAGCTATCATATTTGAAGAGTTTTCTTAGAAAAAAATTTTTTAGATTCGATTAAACATGATTTCTTCTCTTCTCTTCGAAATAAAGTTTTCTTTTCTGAAAATATTCGTCTCTCTACATTCTCAATATTCTATTTAAACCTAATTTATTATTGTTAATATACGAATATTGTTGTTGCATTTCTCTGTTAGACGATAATGTTATCGAACGAGATAAAATCAATGGTTCATGTATCATCTCTATTAGAATATCAAGCTGGAAAAAGGATGACATGTATAGATTATTTAACGTTCAATGCATTTATTTGAACATATACACAAATGACATCATACAAGATGTCTGGAAAGTCATTTAACGAAACTTTTTTCGTATATCTTTGCTGTTTCATTTAACATTATCAACAAGTTCTTTTTTTTCAAATTATAGACGAATATACCGAATTTTTATTTATCCGAGCGACTTTGGATACTATCCTGCAAAACTATTATCTTTGATCGAAATACAAAAATTTTGCTATTTTTGTGAGATGCGAGTAGAACATTATGCAGCATTTTTCCTTTAATTATTTAGTCTTTCTATAGTAGCTCTCGGTAAATTTTGCTTCAAAGAAAAGGTGTCAAAAATTTTCCATATATATATATGTTTGTAGAATTCGAGAAGCTCTATCTAACCATATGAAAATATCAAAGAAAAAAAACCATCAAATTTTGAATTACTTACATCTCACAAAAAATAGCAAAATTTTTGTATTTCGATCAAAGATAATAGTTTTGCAGGATAGTATCCAAAGTCGCTCGGATAAATAAAAATTCGATATATTCGTCTATAGTTTGAAAAAAAAACTTGTTGATAATGTTAAATGAAACAGCAACGATATACGAAAAAAGTTTCGTTAAATGACTTTTCAGACACCCTGTACATACATAGCTCTCGATTATTTTTATAAGTGAAAGGAGATAAACATTTGACAAATAGTTGTCAGTCAGGAACTTGAAAACACAACATAGAAAATGAGGACCTAGCATCATTTTCTAGTCAGAACTTGTCGGATCCGAAAATTTTCTATCGACTGGATCCGGATCCTACCCGATAATTGCTATTATAAAAGTAATGATCAATAATGATCCCATTCTTACACAATTACCATCCAAATACTCTGAGAAATATGTAGAACGTGCTAGTTGATGAATCTCAATAAGCAAAAAAAAAACAAAGTATCTCGTATCTTCAAGGCGACTATCAAGTCGGATTGAAACATTTTTGTTGAGATTATTATGACTACAGATCAGGTTCGGGTCCAAAAAAGTTTAATCAACCAGATCTGGATCCAGTTTAGATCTGAAAAAATTTAATGAATCGGATCTAGGTCCAAAAATTTTGGACACGATGGCCTCTGTTGTACAGCGAGAAGATAGCAGTTGAAACAATTGTTCTATTCGTTTCTTTATGCATCATTTCAAATAATTAGTTTTCTGCCATTCTATTTCATTCTTAAGAATGACAAAAAAAAAATCTAATAGATGTTTTACTATCGAAGAGAAGAAAAAGCTTGTTAGCGCAGCCCCTTTGGGACTAAAATGTGGAACTCACATATACTGTCTAACCTCATTAAACTAATACAAAATACCTAAAATTAAAGACGTCTCATAGACTATAGTTGTTCTGCAGGATAATCGAACATAAGAGTAAAGACCTCTCTAATTTCTGGATTTCGAACAGAAGTCTTTTATTTTTTCTTCGGGTGCTCTATTTTTCTTTTACATTGTTGCGATTCGCTCAGTCTGTAATGGGGACCTGTGTTGCTAAGTGTCTGTACTTGGAAGGAGAAGGGGATGGGGTGCCGCGAAAACTTGAACTTCAAACTTATATTTACTATTTTCTTCGAAAATATTTGTGAATTCCGCAAAATCACTAAAGAATTATGTGTCTTTTTTAGAATAACTAATAAAAGAATGGCTCATCTTATGTTCACCAATAGAGAAATATCAATAATAATTATGCATCTCTAACGATGGTTTGATTAGAAGACCAAGCTCATAACTGTTAAATAATTTCCCGACATCGAGATTTGAATACGTTATCGCAAACTATATCAATTGTCTAGAAATATTAATAGTATATCCTACAGATAATAATTTTTCGATCATTACAATTTGTGAATAAGTTCATATTAAAACAAAAGATTAAAAGCAGAATGATCTCATTCTATAGATTAAGAAACAATGTATCAAAAAAACGAAAAAAAAAAGAATTAATTGATACACTATTCGATTGTTATTATTATCTTACACGATTGAATGATTCATTATTATTGAAATTTATTATTATTAATGATTGTAATGAATTTGTAAATGTTCTTTGTAAACTTGATAGACTAGATAAAATATGTTTTGTTTTTTTGATCATATAAATTTAATGAATTTATTAACATATTTGATATTGTTGACTACAAATAAATCATTATTATGCACAAGCAACAAAAGCAAACATTCCAAAAAAAAAAAAGAAGTAATTATTTTTTTTTTTTAATTACTTCGTCTTATATTTGTTCTTGAATATCGATTACTTATATTATGTCAATGATATTTGAAGATTACTTAATTTCTCCTAAATTTAAAAGAAAAATCTTCTCGTTATTATTGGAATATAAAATCAAACCTTAAGATTAGATGAATAATTGGATAAATTCTCATCCATAGTAGACTATACATATGCAAATATTCATTGATTAACAAACATTGATCTATCTGAAAAGGTTTATTCACTGTATCGATATTTTTATTTTGTGATTCAAATCGTAAAATAGACTTTTATTCATCAGTTGCACGAGTAGACACTTATCTAAAAACAATCTCATTCGTTTAAATTAATTAGAATTGAAACATACTTTCGTTTCGATATATCTGTTGGTTCATTCAACAATGAATAGTATTCTCTTTATATAAAATAAAAATATAATCTTTTGTAATGTTTATCTGGATAGGAGCTCGTTTTTCTTTTAATTCTTGTAATAAATTAAATGTTTCTCTACCACAAACGTAAATTGATGTTTGTCTCTAAATAATAAAAAAAAATTTATTTCAAAAGATGTCGATAAAATTGTATTAATTTTACAATCAGAAAAATGAAGTCGCCGTGACAAAATGGGCACATACTGTTTTAGTAGGCCTCTAAAAGAATTGATGTTAGTTTTTGTTCATGCTATTGTTTTCAAAAGTGAAATAGAACATCAAACATTTTAGAAGGTTCATATCATCATTGCCGTCTAAGGTTTCTGAACCGTATTAAATAATTGCCTTAGAACTGTTAGGTAGATCGCACTTGTAGCTGTCGGACTATTGGCGTGTTACCTCTTGCTATTTAAAAGGACAATGATGCAAATGCGACAGCATTTACACGATCTCGAACAGAAAATGTTAAACAGAAGACTATTGATCATGTCTAATATGAGTCTATTAATAGCGTTCTCTGAATTAATTATAGATAAAAAAAATGAAGTGAAGTGTAACTTGACTTGAGATTTTGGTTCAATGACGGCACTTCACTTGGATCTTAAAAACTGTGACCTATTCATCTTTGAAATTATTTTGATGCTGTGTTTGTTGTGTATGCTGCGAGAGAAAATAGCAATAAGCCAAGTAGTAAACTTTAAATAGTATTTGCAAAAGTTTACGAGATACAAAACGAAGCCACCAATTCGAGTCTTCCTTGCTGTAATCGTTACGGTTTTTTATGTTAGCCAACGGAAGCGACGATTGATTCTCATCATCTGAGTCCCTTTCTCCGTTGGACAACTACATGCTATCAACAATGTTCAGCGGTTTGACAGCAGCAAGTAGATGAAACAATACCTCTTTCGACAGCCAGATGCCAGGAACTTGCTGTCACACGCGTGTACATATCGGCTTCTCGACCGTCAGAAGTGCCGGTACAATACGAGCTTTGTATTGGTTGTTGATTTTCTTCGTGAAACTACGCCATAAAGATATATCGTGAATATAGGTTCCCTTTCCATGCAACTCCACACCACAATTCATTAACATAGTTCAGATAACCTAGATGGCGATCGTCATAGCAACCTCCTATCATATTTAATGTTGTATTTCATGCTTGAAAAGAATAGCATGAACAGAAATTAACATCAATTCTTTTAGAGACTAACTAAAACAGTATGTGCCTATTT